AGGCAGTGTCTCTAGCTGAGAGAGTGTTCCAGTGTCTTTCTACGTTCCTATCTCCCCACAAAAAGGGTTTGAAATAAAAACGTTGCTTACAGAGTTGTCACAAGGAGTGGCATAAGACAAGGAGTCAGCCAGGATGAACAGAGATTGTGCTTTAGTAGACAGTACAGAGAATTGTGGAGGTATTTTGTCTCATCTGAGGTGACAAAGGGACAATGGAAGTAAGTACTCAGGCTCACAATGGCTCAGGGCTACTCATCTCGAGTGGGATGAGGTACCCAGGAGAACAGCTGCCTTAGCACAGATTTTCTTGAGGGAGTCTTCTGTGAGAGCAGCCAGATTCCCACCCCCAGTTTGGCTGTGCTAATCTAATAGACCAGAGTCTTCTCTCCTGTAGAAACAGAAGACTAGGCCAAAGCATTTTCTGAGATTTACTTTAGCTGAATGCAAATCATAAATGCAGGGATAACAGAAGGAAATTGTTAGTCTGTGATATATGGGAAGTTTGGCAAACAGCTTTTGCAGCCTTTTCTGGACTAAAATATTGCTGATATTGCGAGTCCAACAATCAGTGCTTGCAATATTGTGGTGGCAATTTGAAAATGTTGTGCTTTCTTAAATCCTTCTGTAAGGGATCTTTGCAGTCAGTTTTCAGTGTACCAGTCGGTTCTTGGATGAACCATTAACCAAAGAAAAGGTTGTTAATTTTAGCTTGGTTATATGGCTAAAAGAAGGTATTACTGTCTGTCTTGGTCACCTTCTTTGAGTTTTTGTACCTCTCTTTTGTTGAGGTTTCCTCTTCTGTTTTAAAACATCATGCATATATCGAGGCTTTTATTATTATGGTTGGGAAGTATTCAAAGTCCTGGCTTGCCAAAAGGTTACACCCTGCTAATGGCAAAAGAAACTATTCACTAATGCTGGGAATAATAGATTTTACAGGCTACAGATAGTTGTTAAAAGGTATAGGAATGCTGGGTAGCGAATTACAGGAATTTGAGCAATAGAAAGTACCTTGTTGAAAGGGCATCCACAGAAAACAGATGTATTTTTGTGAGATGTTTGACCCTTCTCCATTTCTGCGCACTGCTCTGAATGGCTTATGCCTCAGGACCGACTAGTTTTAGTTGCCCATGTGTACTGTGTCCTGAGGGGTTTTTTTATACAGTGAGAACCTTATTTTGCTCGATGGAGTGATTAGAGGTGCACAGGTAAACACCAAATTGTGCCTATTACAGTGGGTGGACTTTCTCATAAGTGAGGTATTGCAATATTTCCTGAAGCTGCCCAAGCCCTGCCCTTGATTGGTGTCCGAGATGTGATGAAGGCCTGGGCATCTTTCCTATAAAATTGGCAAAAGAGGCAAAGTCATGGTTACACAGCCAGCTAGTGGCCGAGCCGAGAACAGAAATCACTTCCTGGGCAGCAAAGTCAGCGACATCGAGCAGAGCCTGCTGCCCCCCGCCTTCCACAGCTCTTCCACTAGTATTGTCAGCTGAGAGCAGTCCAAACCACAAAATTCAGATTTTGGCACAAGATCTAGAGTTTGGGAGCAATCAGGCCCATCTCTTACTGCACAGGAATACAGCAAGTTTTTTCTGTAGCAGACGAGAAAAGCGGCGATCTTTCAAATGCATCCTGCAGATACAGATGCAATAGCAGATGAGAAGTGTTGTTTTGTTTGGTTTCCCTATGTAAGTTTTCCAGGAAGGAGTCAGATGGCCAGAGTTATGCAAACCAAATGGATCCTCTTTTGTTTAGAGCAAAGGAAAATAGTCACTCATTTTTGTGGTGAAGCACAAACATTCTCCAAACAAAATAATCTCTCCCTGTAGCCAGCCTGGCCAGCCATGAGTCTCCTCTTGGGACTCTGAGCCTGATAAACTTTCTAGAGAGGCATAGACTTCAGTGCAAGTTGGGGGTGCGAAGGGAGAGAAAGAGAAACAAAGGGCTGATGAGATCTACATAAAAGGCCTTGCAAAATTAAGCCAGCTTTTGTTTTAGTGAATGCTGGCATGGAGAATTCTTTGGCCTTTGCTGCCAGTGTTAGCAAAGGAGAAAAGACATTGGTCTTCATTCTTTTGGCATGTGTGCGCTGAAACAATGTCATAAAATTGTGGAAGTTAATGATATCTTCATAAATCAGGGTGAGAACAGAACTGTAGGGCCAGATTCACCACCACTGTGCGTCTGCCTTGCTTGTGCAAAGTGGGAAATGCTGCTGTTTTGGTTTGGTAACTCCATTGCAAAACTGAGTGCTGGTATATGATGCAAGCTCATCAGAAATCTGGTGCCTGTGCTGCAGGCGATAGGAAGTGAGGGATGTGCGTAATATCGCTACATTTCATGCTTTAAATGCCTATTGTCTGTCTGCCTCTCTTTTAATAAGGAAGTAATCTTCTAGATAGTATGGGGCTAGCAAAGGAATACCCTGTGCTAAAAACATTCGCTTCTAATATCTAGCGTAGTGGAAATGTTCCTATGCGTTCTTGCATTGAGGCTGTGGGAAAACAGCGATGATGTGCTACTTTCCAGGCCAACAGCAAGAGCAAGGATCTAGAGGGATCACAGAAGCTTGAAGACTGCTCTCAGTAGGTGAGCCATGATGCGGAAGTGAAGCCTGTCTCTGAAAACCAGATGGCTGGCTAAAATGTTTCATTTTCAGCTGTTTGCCTGTGTCCAGCAGTCCTTAACAAAATAACTGCTGTGGGTAACCCAAAAATTCAAGTGTGTATATGTAGGCGTGGGATTTGCTGGAAACTGGAAACATAAGGAAAACTTCAGGGAAGGATACAACTTTTCATTACCATTTCATTTTTTTAAATGAAGTGTAAAAAAATAAACATTTCTTAACCTGCCTGAGGAAATAATCTTTTATATTGCTGCCAAAGCAAAGAAGTACACTGGTATGAAGTAGGCATTATAATGTGTGATAGGAATTACTAGAGCAGTATTACTACTTTCTAAAATTTTGTATTCAGTGGAAACCTCTCCTTTAGGAATGTCTGGGAAAGAATGCGTAACTTCGTGAGTCCTGCTTCTGCGTGAGAGGACAAACTCTTGCAGTCTGCGTCTCTTATCTTTTATGCCTCATCCACTCCTGCATGACCCTGCTTTCGAGTGAACCCTGGTGTGCTAGCCACTGAGAATGGGGCCGGATCAATAGTGCTGTACTGCTGTTGCCCTAATCATTATTAGGCACCATCCATGTGAACAAATTTTATCTCAGCAGTAAGTGAAGAATGGACAAGGCTCACAGCTGATGCAGAAATTACATTAGAGAAGGTTGCCACATGCTTTGGCTTGTGTCTCTTCGTGGCTTTTCCTCTTTCCACTGGCACCTTAAATGGAGTCGTAATTTGCACAAGTTTCCTCAAAAACAAAAGACCAGGCAGTCAGAATAGCTCAGCTCTTCATTAGATTGCGAAACGATCTGGTTAAACTTTTATCCTTGCTCCTTTCCATTCCCTGTTGCTGTCAGTGATGTACTGAACACCGTAACCTTGCTTCCACGTTGCCAGTGTTACATGTACCCTGGGAAGTTAAGTGCACTGTGCAGTTGTGAGGAGACTTCAGATGGTTAGAGATCCCAGGTTTGCTGTCTGCATTTCAAGTAGAAGAGCAAGGTCATGATGAGTTGTACTCCTATTTCAACACAGCCCCATAGAATGAAGGTCTCTACTTCTACCCTGTAGTACATAGAGATTAGATTCAAGGTTTGGGTTGAAGGTGAGAATTGAAACCTACAGGTTTGAGAGGCGAAGGGGCAGGAATCTGTCAGGAGCGGGGCTTTCAAACAAAATGAAAATTTTAACTGGAAAGTTTTAGGAAGCTGGTAACATTTGGTAACAGCTCATTTCAGGTCTATACGCATCTCTATAGAAGGCCTTAGAGATGGTTATAAGATCAGCTAGTAGAAAGCTTCCTGATGCAGTGACATGCTTCTGGAAAATGCTGATTCAGCAGAAACAAACCCTTCTGCGGGAATGTGTGGTTTTCAGTCCAAAAAGGAAAAATTACACAGCCCATCTGCCTGGTTTTCCACCAGTCTGCCCAATCTCTAGTCAGTTGGCAAGTGGGCTGGGAAGTTCCTCAGGTTCCCCATCTCCCTGGTCACCAGAGAGGTGGTATAAAATTCTGGTTTAAGTCTAAAAAAGAAGACTATTGATTAATGTTCCTGCTTCCCAGGCAATTGCCTATCGATAATTTTTCTCACTCTGCTTTTAAAACCATAGTATAATTTAAGTTGGAAGGTTTAATATAGTTTCAGACGAGTCTGCCGTGAAGTGCAAAATTTTCCATAATACACAATTTTCTTAACCCAGCTATTTTCGATTATATGTAATCTGGTGCAGCTCCATCTGATCTCCTGTATAGACTGGCTGTAATAAATTTGCTCTGACCATTCAAAAAGCTTTGTATCTTCAGTTTTACTGTGGCTCGGATGTGTGGTGTGATAGATTTCAGCGGCACAGAGCAGCTGTAGGAATGGCAAAGGTGCTGCGTGCAAGATGTGGGTGACAGGCAGTGCGAGGGCTTCCACTTGCCCTGAGGCGTTCAGCTCTGCAGGGGCAGGTAGTCCTCAGCCCTTCTGTAGGAGTGGTGGCACAAGTGGCTTTGTGAAATGTTTCACAGTGAGAATGACAGAGAGCTGTGGTAGCCTGAAAACAAGACAGTTTTCATGAGGGCTCTGCAAAGAAATGAGGAAGGAGGGTCAGCCGCCGCATTTCCCCATCGTTCTTGTGGGGGTAAATGCGAGGTGTTGACTTTTTTTTCCTGAGGTGCAAGGTTTCTGCTGTTACCTTGTATTTACTCTGTAACTCCATGGGCTAAAAGCATGCCCACAGTTACCTCAGAACAACTGCTTTGCAGTAGCTTTTTATCCCTCACACAGTGTTTGATCTTGTTTATGTATCAAGAGCGAGGGAAAACATTATTTAAGCTTGGTCTTTAAGGCCCGTATTACTCACCGGGTAATAAATCCCAGTATTTCTTTTTTCCAGATGAGAAGCCTTTTGTAGTAGAAGATACCTACTTACTCTGTCCAGCACCTGTGCTACGAGAAGTTGGCATGTATGTTTTTTCTACGTACTCAAATACTTACTGTGCCAGTGGGAAAACGAATCTGTGTCATCTCACTGTATTCTGTTGTTCTTATATGCACCTGATTCTGACATTGTTTCTTCTGCTTGTTGGGTTAATTGGCGGTTGTGCATTGGAGCATAGGGGAGAGCACCAGCAGTGTGAATTAACCTGTACAAAAGGCTTTTCTGTGCATCAGGAGCCCAAGTTGCAGAGGATATTATCTAGTAGAGGATTGTTGAACTAGCTGGCCTGAATTGTTTCTTGTGGGTTTTTCTTTTTGTTGTTTTTTGGGGGTTTTATTCTATTTTTTTTTTCTTTCAGGGAAGCAGCTCTCCAAGTCAGTATGAACGATGGTCTGAGCTTCATCTCCAGCTCCGTCATCATCTCCAGCACGCACTGTGTAAGTTTCGATTCATGTGCCTAAAATGATTCAGTAGGTGGTACTTAACAACAGATGTTTATTACACCACTATTGGGGCTTCCAGGTTGAGTAAGCCTGGTGTGCGAAGGACCTGTTTCCCTCTTTGAAAGGAGAGCTTGTGAGTGTGGTAACATGACATTTTGTGTACCAGGTGTGCCATAATGTGTCAAAGCTCTTGAGTATTCGGTAAACACCTCAGACTCTGTATCTGCTGTGCTATGCAGACCAGACCAGGACTGGCAGCCAGTGGTCTGGAGGTGTATGTGCCTGCTTGTCCACAGCACAGTGTCTGCTGGCTTTGTTAGCTCATCTGTTTCCTCTACAGCAGAGGTGCTGCTCATTGTGAAAGGCGTATGGCAGTTGTGCTCACAGCCTTTGTCTGGAAACCAGTATGGTTGCCAAAAAAATGTGGGAGATTTCCACTGAAGTTGCTGGCTTATAGCTGGCATCCTTCCTTGCCAGTAGTGAATTGCTGCATTCAGTCTCTGGGTAGAATCAGGCAAAGGACAATGAAACCATTTATAATTCATGGTATTGCTGAAGATGCTGCTACTGCTAAGTCATGGCTGCTGGGAATAGAGTGTGAAATGATTTGTGCTAAAGGAGGTAGTGGAGGAACTAACTTTGAGTTCAGAGCAGTTCTTCATGCTTCAATGTATTCAGCATTATTCGTCCATGGGCAGACCTGTCTTCCACAGAGGGAATGGTTGAGGCGCTGCTTTACTTTCTCCTGTGTACTGACTTAAACTTTTTTGGGAAGCCAGAGTAGTCTCTCCAGAAAGACTTGAAAAATCTGTTCATGGCCTGCTTTTCTCCCTATCCAGTAAAGGCACATCATGTTTCCATAGAGAATAAATGAAAGGCTAAGTTGTATAACATCAGATCACCCACAGTCTTCTGTGGTCCACGAAGGCTGATGCACAAGATGAGAAAAGTCTTTTGTGTCACTTGGTCTTGATACTTTTTCAACAAGGACAAGATTGTATGGAGAGACAGTTTTCAGAGCTTACATGAGGGGTTATATTCCAAAAGTTACAAAGGCTTCCTTATGCCTTAAAAGAAGGGAATTTATTTTATTAGTTAATTAGTTCATTCAAGTTCTCTTCAAGCTCACTGGCAAAAATGTATTTGCATGTTGTCAGCAAATTACAGGAATATTTTCCTCAGTTTTGTTCATATGAGGCAAGACCTGGAAAAGAATTCTTAAGAAAAAAATTATTCCTTCCTGATATGCTTTCTTGCGGGGATAGAATTATTATTTCTAGGTTGTAGGAGATGAAATATCTGTTCCTTTTCTATTGCTTTAATAGCTGTAAGGAAACTTTTGAAGATGTCTATGCTTCATGGCAGCACCTACTACTCTGATGCCACCAGACTGGTAAACTGGGTTTGGAGTGCAGCTAAGCAGCCAGAATTCAAATCCAGATCCTACACTCAAACCCAGGCACAGTCACATTCAGTGGCTGCTTTGAAAATTGTATTGCAGGCTTCACTAATCGAGGAAGTTTCTGCTGGGTAAACAGGCATTTTGTCTTTGTAGTAGTGTGTATTTTTTTGAAGTTCTCTTTAAAGATGAAACTGTTTACTGAGACTACAATCCCCTCTTTAATTAAGGTTACAAGGGTGCCAGTCCTGGAAATACCTGTATACAAAATGTGCACCAAATGACTTGTTTAATTGACTTCAGACCTGAAAGTCAGGTCTGTTTGAAGATCTGCAGCCAAAGTGGGGCAGTCAGAAAGCTGTGGAATGAAGTGATGGTAACAAGCAGGGAAAACATTAAGGTTTTCTTCATTGTGTGCAAACTAGCCATCAGAGCTTTGAGATTCCTCTTTGTGCTGCATTTCAGAAATGGTCAGGTTTGGAAAGAGGTCAGGAGTGTTGTCTTCAAAAAGCTTCCCAGATGGCAATCAGCAGTGACTTAACATGGCAGCCCCACACTCGCTTTGATTTGAACGCCTTGAACACCAAACTCATTGCTCTTCAGAAATGGCAATTTAATGGGAGAAGAAACAAAGCAAGGATCTTGACAGCCTGATAAGCTTTACCATTTCTTTATTTTCTTATGTATCTCCCCAACAAAACCTTCCTATGCCACATGTAAACAATCTGCAAATATCCCATTTTCCCTATAAACAGTACCTGTCCTGTTCTATGAACTACCCATTTTCAAGAAGTATCTGGAGGTAATCCAGGAAAGAAAATTCAATTAAGAACGTAGCTGAAGCAGACAGCTACATTCCCAGCAAGTAAAGACCAAAAATTAGCAGTCATAAAAGTCAGACTTTGACTCCTAAATTATGAATGTAGGTATTTGAAGATTAGGGCAGATGAAGCTATCTAATAGGAACTATTGAACTATCTAATAAGCTTTTTTATCACCTTAGCTGGCAAAAATTTTAGTGTAGGTTTTCATGGTAAGGAAATTGGGCCATTTTCTCATAGGTTAATAGGGCAAAGCTATTTTATACTAGCGTATGTCCCGACCTTTATTTAATATCTAAAGACTCCTAGGAACGAGGCAGCTAAATAAATGTCAGTTTTATTGAGCAGTGAAAACTCTAGAAGAGTTGGAAAGAAACAAGGGATCAAAGCCTTTGCCTTTTCTAGAAGCGCATCACAGCTTCACTGCTGTAAAACTCCTGCAATTGCCAGAAGCGAGGAGGGAAGAGCGCTTAGTACTCCTGTACTAAAAAACGTTGTGTTTTCTAACATTGAGTGCCAGCTGCTGAAAATGGGATACTGGGATTTTTTGCCTTGCCCAGTGCCGTCATTTTTGTGAGGTTGCCAGTTAAAAGTGCTTTTCGCAGACTATGCTGCCTTCGTATTCAAATACTGAATGCGTGGCAGAAAGTGTTCTGTGCACTTGTCCCCTTTTGGAAGTGTCTGTTTTGTGTCTCTGAATGCAATAATGCACATACCTCTCTAGTATAAACTGATTACATCTGGGAACAGACAAAGCTTTTGGTTGAGCCTGTATTGCCTAACTGAAGTAATTATTTGCACTTTTTCCCCTTGAGGTGTAAAATCTGCTACAGCGTTTCAACGGTGAGAAAATGTGGGAAGATTAGGAATGAAGGCATATGTAATGACTGACTTGATTTCCTTCTTAGTCTGAGAGGCACTTAAATACATCTCACTTTCCAGCATTAAGTGATACTACTTGTCAAATTTGTCAACATCAAATTAGACCTCACTGTTTGAACACTGTTTGGGGTTTGGGGGTTTTTGTTTTGTTTAAAGGAATCATACATACAGCTAAAACAGCCTTAGAACTTCTACCTATGCTTTTAAATCTGGGCACTTTGGAATCCACTTGCCTGGACTGCAGGTGTCCGTTGTTGCTTTGAGGGACTTCTCACTTTCCCTAGATTTCTGCTTCCTGAAATGTGGTAGGCTTCCTTTTCCATGGGACTCAAGGAATTACTGGTTTATGTTCCCAAAATAAAATTGCCAGAAGTGGTGAAATTTTGTTTTTTAAAGTGAGTCTCCAGGCTTTGCTGGTGCTTCACTGCAGTTTTGTTCTCTCTGTTGAAAAGTAATTGATTTTTCATTTAACAAAAGAAAACAGAAGAAGGTGTGGGAGAGACTTGTAAAGATGCTTTTGTCACAGAAGATCTTTCAGCATTTCCATTTTAAAGTATATTTTGGGAAGGCTTGCAGTCACATAAAGGTGAACTCAGCTGGATCAGGTGGAGCAAAATTTCCATTTAAAAAAGAATAAAAATCCTTCTCAGTTCGCCCTGTTATTTTCAAGCCTGAGTTATGAAACAGTCCATAGGAGTTCTTTGGGGATTTTATTTTGCTTTTCTTCCTCAGGATTTTCAATATGAGTCTTCAGAGGCAAGAGAGTTGATGACACATGGGAGGGCCTTTTAAATCCCTCATGATAAGTGTAAGTCTGGAAGTTGCCCAGGTACATTAGCCAACAAATGAAACTCCAAATGCAAGGTCTGTCTGATTTGTAAAAGAAGTATCAGTGAGAACAAAGGCTGACTCCCTGATCTCATGTGGGGTGGCCTTTAGTTAAAGGTGGAGTTGTCATTTTCTGGAGATGGTGACATGCATTGACTGTGGAATTGCGTGGATCTGCTCAGTTTTTCAGAGTGCAGTCTTTGCCTCAAAGAACAGTGAAAGAAAGAAAAAAGATAAGGATGAGGTTAGTAGAGGAGAATCTTTTTATTCTGAGGAATGCAACTCCCTCTCCCACCCTCACAGAATCATAGAATCTTTGGGTTAGAAGGGACCTTTAAGGCCATATAGTCCAAACCCCTTGCAATGAGCAGGCACATGTTCAACTAGAGCAGGTTGCTCAGAGCCCCGTCCAGCCTGACCTGGGATGTTCCCAGGGATGGGGCATCAACCACCTCTCTGGGCAGCCTGGGGCAGTGTTTTACCACCCTCACTGTGAAAAATTTCTTCCTTAGATCTAGTTGAAATCTGCCCTCTTTTAGTTTAAAACCAGTTTACCCCTTGTCCTATTGCTACAGGCCCTGCTAAAACGCCCGTCCCCACCTCTCTCCTCAGCCCCTCTCAGCCCCGGCAGCTGCACTAAGGTCTCCCCAGAGCCTTCTCTGCTCCGGGCTGAGCCCCCCCAGCTCTCCCAGCCTGTCCTCCCAGCAGAGCTGTTCCAGCCCTCGGAGCGTTGCTGGGGCCTCCTCTGGCCCCGCTCCAGCAGGTCCGTGAGTCTCCTGTGCCGAGGGCTCCAGAGCTGGACGCAGCCCTGCAGGGGGGTCTCCCCAGAGTGGGGCAGAGGGGCAGAATCCCCTCCCTCGCCCTGCTGGCCATACTGTTTGGGATGCAACCCAGGACATGATTGGCCTCCTGAGTATGTTAGTTCCTTGGGAATAGTGCCCTTTGTTGTGGTTTGTTACTATCTTGGCTCTTCTGCTGGTTTTGGCAGCTCTGAAGTCTAATGGGAAACCTGGCTGGACAATGCCAGATGCCCTTGAGATGATAAAGTATCAGCGCATATATCT